AAAAAAAAAAAAAGAAAAAAGAAATCTATGTTGAAAACATTTTCTTTTTTTTTGAGACAGAGTCTCATTTCGTTGCCTTGGGTAGTGTGCTATGGCATCACAGCTCACAGAAATATTCTCACAGCTTATATTCTTGGGCTTAAGCAATTCTCTTGCCTCCACCTCCCAAGTTGCTGGGACTACAGGCGCCCGCCACAACACCTGGCTATTTTTTGGTTGTAGTTGTCATTGTTGTTTGGCAGGTCTGGGGTGGGTTCGAACCTGCAGCTCCAGTCTATGTGGCTGGTGCCCTAGCTGCTGAGCTACAGGCGCCAAGCCTGGTAGAACAACTTTCGATTTGGATTATAATGTTTCTGTTATATTAGGGGCCGACAAACTTTTTCTTTTGTCAGATAGTAGGTAGTTTAAGCTTCGTAGGCTATACAGTCTCTGTCACTGTTGTTCAGTTCTGCCATTGTAGTTCAAAAGCAGCCCTAGACAATGTATAAACAAATGGGCATGGTTGTGTTCAATAAAACTTATTTACAGAAATAAGTAGCCAGGGCTCAGCACTTGTAGCTCATGGGCTAGGGTGCCGGCCACATACACTGGGCTGGTGGCTTCAAACCCTGCCCGGGCCTGCCAAACAACAATAACTACAACCAAAAAAATAGCTGGGCGTGGTGGCAGGCACCTGTAGTCCCAGCTACTTGAGAGGCTGAGGCAAGAGAATTGCTTAAGCCCAAGAGTTTGAGGTTGCTGTGAGCTGTGATGCCACAACACTCTACTGATGGCAACATAGTGAGATTCTGTCTCAAAAAAAAATAGGTAGCCACAGCCCTAGGTTTGCCAACCTCTGGTTTGTACCACTATCTTACACGTACCACTTATGAAAGTCTTAATGCCCAAATGACAGCAGTATATGATTCTTTTTTCTTACTCTTAATACAGTGATAGACCTGGACCCACTGGAGCAACAAGGCCGAAGGCAATTTTTGTTCACCATGCTGAACGGACAAGATCCTGAGAAAGGATGGTTAGTATCTGCTTTCTACTTTGAAAGAAAGATTTCAGAAAGGAATTCAAAATTTTGAGTTTAGTGTGCTGGTGCTGAATATTTTAATAACATCTTTTGAGTTAATTTGAGTTAATTTACTCTTAGTGAATTTTCCATCTACCTATCTACGTTTATTGATTAATTATTTAACCTCATAGGTTTAATTTCTCACCTCTCCCAGTCCCTGATGGACACATTTTTTTTTTTTTTTT